TATATATATATATATATATATATATATTTGTGTGTGTGTGTGTGTGTGTGTGTGTGTTTGTGTGTGTTAAAAGTCATTTGCATGTTCATCCACGAATGAATCCAGCTTAAGAATATGCAAATTTCATTATGTCAATCAATAACTAGAACACTCCATAACATCAAAGTAACAATGGCGCCAGAAAACATCAAATACTTTCTTGTCTAATATACGTAGAACCCTTTATCTCAGAGGCCATGCATGAGTTCCTCCATAGGTTTAAGATTTGCTTCTTCCCCATCGCCGACATCCACATTGTTATTGTCTCTCGTGATAAATTCATACATATGGAAAGGGGTGCCGCCAGTGCCCTTAGCCGCTTCATTGACGAAGTTATTCCACGCATGCTCTGCCAAGCTGTCATAGGATCCTGGATTCTGAGCCGAGACGAGTGTCAGGAGAAGGGAAAGTGCCAGTGTGGCGGAGATGGTATGTGTTGCCATGATGTTGTATGTTTGGTGGGGGAGGGGAAATGCTGATTGACAAAATTTATAGTTTGCAGTACTAGTAATGGCTAACAAATTTAGGTTAGCTGAGCTATAAGTTGAGAAAAGGTTATTTTGGTTTCGTTTTTTAATGGTGGGAACAATTAGAAGGAAAAAATATATAATTGCTGCCCTTTTCATTATGGTGTTATTCGATTCCGGCCACATGATTGCTCAATTTAAGCCACCTGCTCGTTTTGGAAGTTTTAAGCTGTTGGATACCAAAGATAGATTAAAATTGTTTAATAGTTAAAAAAGATAGTTTCTTTCATTTTTTTTTCCCCTTCTAAACTTGTAAATAATTTAACAGTTCGTATAATCTCTTGCTTTTCGACGCTCCCTTCGTTCGAAATTCGTTCCCTGGCATGAGCCATGCCCGTCGAAAATAAGAGTGATTGTCGTGCTGCAGGGCATCAAAGGCCTCACTCCTATTATTATTCTGCAAAAATATTTTGGCTGTTAGCGCGAGGGACAAGCAGTTAATGAACTTGTTATGCTGCCTTATATATTTTTCATCATAGATTACATGTTAAAAATATGCTATTATTTTATTTACATGCACAGCATGCTTGGCTATCTACATTATATTTATATGTTGAATATCTCATATTCTTAAATGAATATATCGAAAATTAGATAATAATAATGCATGCGACACAGTTAAATGGCGTTTGACAAGAATTTGGTTAATTAGGGTACTTGATTGAAAATATTTCTGACTCAGAAAAGAATTCTCATTTTATTATTGTGTTCCAATTAGTTTGAATGTTACATAATAAAGTGATTTTTAACTATAAATTATGCAGTAAATTTTTTTAGTTGGTTCATCATTGCTTGCACTTTTTCTATTATCTGAATTATATATATATAATTGAATATCTCATATTTTAAAATGAATATATATCCTATGAATTTAAATATAATGTAGATATGTGGTATATATATATATATATATATATTCATATTTGGGATATATAGATAAAAGATGGCCGTTCTATTTGCTCTGCTAGGGTCTGCGCCATGGCTGCTCCCGCTCCCCTGGTAACATTGAGTTTGGTTTAGGTTTTGGAGGTGTCAGATACTACTGTGCTCTGGCATGGCGTCTGCCTCCTCTTGGTGACTTGTTTTGTTGGGGTTTTGTGCTTTCTCGGGTTCTCTGATATTCAAATTTTACTGTTCTATTGGTTTGGGGTTTGCTTTCCACTGGCTTTTCTGCGCATGTTTTGTTTGGTTGTTGATTCTTTCTTGTCTTCTTTTCTGGTTTGAGGGCCCTTCCTGCTTTGGGGAAGGCATGGCTGCTGACTTAACAACAACTGACCTAAATTTTTTTAGTAAATGCTCTTATGTTGAGGCGGTTGGTAATGTTGTTAATGGTTCATCCTTGGGGGACAAGCTGGTGTTTCCCTAAGCCTTTCATGAGTCCATTGAAGACAAATTTGAATGCCCTTTTGTGAAAAAAAGGACCAAAGGCTGGTAAACATGCTTTAATCTTTTCGGATGTTGAAGTGTCCAGTTTGGCTGATAACTTTAAATTCACCTTGATTGGAAAATTTCAATTGGGTCATCCTATGATGGAGGTCATCAGGAGAGCCTTTGATGATTTCAAATTGATGGATAATTGGAAGGTGGGATTATTTGATGGTAGGCACATAATGATCCAACTTGCATTGGAGGAGGACTATGCTAAAATCTTCTCTAAAAAGCAAATTGTGATTGAGAAACAACAGTTAAAACATTTGAAGTGATCGACTGATTTTGACCCTAATCAAGAGCCACCTATCATCCCTATGTGGTTTAAATTGTCTGGTCTCAAGTTACTACTTCCATCATCAAGTACTCTTCTCCATTGGTGTTATTCTGGGTAGACTAATGAAACTTGATATCTCTACTTTTAATTTAACCAGACCCTCAACTGCAAGGATTCTGGTGGAAAGAGATATACATTGCTTAAAGTTAATGAAATTTGGTTAGGTACAAACCATAATGGTTATTGACAACCAGTAGTCATGGAATAGAAGCCATATTATTGCAATCATTGCAGGATGTTTGGTCATACGTAGGAAAAATGTTATAGGCTCCACCCCTCTTTGAGACCCTCTAGAGCTGGACCTTCTAAGGTTGGTTTTCCTGCCCATACTGAAGAGAAGACTTCTAAACAAGGGGTAGATATGCCTACCCCACTCCATGCTCCTCCCCCGTTGGATCTCCCCGCCCCTCAAGCAAGAGATACATCAGATAACACAATTATTGATTTGGATTTGCCACCAAGAGAAGTGCATGTACCACATTTAAATATTGTTGCTCCTGAGGTGATGAAAGAACAATCTCCCACTGCCGCAGATTCACAGGAGGATGGTTATAATAACTCTTTGAGGTATTCTTTCGATGATGACACAATCCAACAAATGAGAGCTGCTCTGGAGGAAGAGTGGCATGTCCAAAAGACCAAGAAGAAGAAGAAAGGTTTGTTGGAACTAAGAAATTTACAGAATGACAATCTAGCTTTTGTTGGTGGGGGCTCCCATCAGTTGATGATGGAACCTATGTCTAGAACCAGGAGGAGGGGTAAATCCACCTCTTTTGGATGATGAATATTTTATGCTGGAATGTTAGGGGACTGGCTCATCCTAAGTCCCTTAATAGACTCCTCTATCTTAATAGGATGCATAATTTTTGGATCATTGTTATTTTGGAGCCTTTGGTATCCAAATACCCCAACAAAATTATTAAAAAGCTTCTTGGTTTTAAAATTCTTTCTAATATGAATAATAAAATTTGGTTACTCTGCAGACATGAAGTGTAGTGGATCGTCCTTTGTGACAACCCACAATTTATCCACTTATCCATTGATTTTGTAGGGTTCTTCTGGCCATGCTACATTTATTTATGCTGGTAGCTATCTTGCCGCAAGGAAGGAGCTATGGAGGGAACTCATATCAATCAACCAATCTCTCAATTCTAAATGGCTGGTAGGAGGGAATTTTAATTTTCTAGCTACACCAAATTAGAAGCTAGGGGGAAACCCCCTGACATTCAGCAAATTACCTTCTTCTATGACAATATTCAGCCAGCTGGTCTTCATGATTTGGGCTTCAATGGCCCTAAATACACTTGGAGAAGAGGTAAGCTATGGGGAAGACTTGATAGAATGCTTGCTAATATTGCCTGGTTGAATGACTTCCTACATACCTCTATTCATCATTTACTCATGACTGGGTCGGATTACAGACCTTTCCTGATGTTTCATTCGGCTTCCCAAAGCAAAGGTAAATCCAACTTCGTATATCTTAACATGCGGTCTTCACATCCAATTTTTGTTAATCAAGTGACACAAGCATGTCAAGAGTATGATAATGAGAACTCTTGGATTAAGCTATGGATGTTGCAAAAGAAATTAAGCAAACACCTCCAAAATTGAAACTGGCCAGTCTTTGGGGATATTAATGCCAATGTGAAGGATGTTGAATGATTGGTTACACAGTTGGAAGGAGAATTGGTAACTAATCTTGATGTTCAAGCTACTCTATAATTAGCCAATGAATTACTTATGAGGGCCATAACACAAAAAGAGGAGTTATATCTACAGAAAACAACCATGCCCATATTCTGTGAGGTGAACAGTAATTTAAAATACTTCCATGCTTTTTTCAATTACAGGGAATGCAACACCATACACAAGGTTCTGGACTCTACTGGGGTTTGGTTAACTTCTACTGATAGCATTGCTTCTAGTGTAGTGGATTATTTCAAAATATTGCTCTCACAACATCCTGAACCGAGAAACCCCATCAATGAGAATCTGATGTCAAGACAAGTAATATATCAATCAACTTAATCTAATAGGTATCCCTCATGAGGAGGAGACCTGGAATGCTTTGAATTCCATTGATAGTCACAAAGTGGCTGGTTCAAATGTTTTTTCTGCATATTTCTATAAGAATACCTGGCTCATGATCAAACATGATGTTATTGATGTCGTACAAAGCTTCTTCAAGGGGGTGGACCCACCCAAATAATTTAGAACTTCTACTATTACTCTCATACCTAAAGCAATGCTACACAGAAATGGGATCAGTTCAGACCTATCAGCTTCACTAATGTGATGAAAAAAATCATTAGTAAGGTCCTTGCCACCAGACTACAACCTCATTTACCATACTTAATCTGTGAGAACTAGTCTGTCTTTATTCATGGAATAAGCATAGTGGACAGTGCCCTTTTGGCCCAATAATTGATGTTAGATTTGTACAGAAATTGTATAGGTGGTAATGCTATCTTCAAGATGGATAACAGGAAGGATTATGATACTATTCATTGGGGCTTCATAAGGGAGGTCCTTTTGGCCAGGGGATTCTCTACCCACTTAACTGATCTCATCAGCAGATGGCTTGCTAACAATGTCCAGTCTATCCTTATTAATGGGCAAGTCCATGGATTTTTCAGCTCCTTTAGAGGAATAAAATAGGGAGACCCTTTATCACCCTCAATTTTTATTCTAATATTTGATTACCTCTCTAAAATGCTTAATAGTATCTCAATATGCTCCTCTCATACCCTTTTTAATCACAGATCAAATATTGTTATTACCCATTTAGCATATGTTAATGATATCATTCTTTTTTCCAAGGCTACCAAACCTGTCGTGAAGCTGATACATCAGTGCCTCATGGATTTTTAGTCATGTTCATGGATGCAGTTCAATACACACAAATGTAATGTTTTGTTCAGCAAAAGAGTTAAGAATCCTACCAGGCACTGAATTACTGACCTAACTAGATTCAGACCCACCAGCCTTCCTCTTAAATATCTGGGAGTCCATTTGATTAAAGGCAGAACCGACATAACCAATTTGATGATATTTTGTCCAAAGTACAAGATAAATTGAGCTTTTGGACTAATTCCTTCCTATCTAATGGAGGAAGAATCACTCTATTAAGAAGTGTATTGTCTGCTTTTCCCTCTTATACCTTACAGATAGTTGCAATGAAAAAGGCACTCAACTCTTTCTGGAAAGAACTTTTAATAGGTTTTCATGGTCAGGACAGAGGAAGCAAGTTCATTTGGCTAGCTGGACTAAGGTGTGCAAACCTCTTACTGCTAGGGGAATGGTGTTTAGAAGTTTCCATAACATCAAGCATATCAACTTCTGTAAACTTTGGATAAAGTTTCGTTCTCAATCCTCCCTTTGGGCTAGATTTATGTGGGGGGAGTACTGCAAGGAGTAGCACCCCACTTTGTTCTCTGGGAAGGCGGGGGACTCAAGAATCCGGTCAAGCATGCTTAAGGTGAAGAGCAAGGTTGAAGATTTGTTCATTTGGGAAGTGAGGGAAGGCAATATCAACTTCTGGTTTGACAACTAGACTATTGGGGGTAGGTTAGCTACCCTGTT